AAATCTTGCTTGTTTTTTTTTCTGCACCCAATTGCTACACCAACGTGCCTGGAATGAAGACCACTGACCTTGAGAGAGATTGTACCACAGCTCGAGCGTGTGCCAAAGCGCTCAAAACAAAACACGCCTCCAGCCACTTGGCCAGGTCGTTTTAGCGTGGGGAGAAGTTTTACAGACACATAACCAGATGTTCCTCGCACTCAGAGACGGCTAGAAACACCAACACACACTAGATGTATCCTTTGTGTGGCGCTTCTGAAGGGGGCGGCGAGAGACAGTTACCCAGGATGCTTTGTTCAGCCACTTTGCTAGCCTCAGCCAAGGTCAGGCCCCCTGTTACACACCACCCTGCAATCATTGTGGATGTGCCGGAGAGATCCTATCATTGAAACCCAGGTACTCCGATACAATGACCCTTAGCTGGGATACGTAACTATGCTTTCACAAGAGAGGAGCGGCTAAGGCTCAACCACTTTAGTCGCCAACGGAAAAATACACACAGCCGCCAAGTGCATTCTGCCCACTGATGATAAATCTTTGATGGCATACTAATCAATTTTGTAAAAAAAATAAAAAATCCATTACTGCCGCCGCATTCTGGCACCGCATAAGATACTGTACACAGCAGTAAATCCACAAATCTAGATGTTTATTTGCCTGAGCAGACAGAACCACTATAAATTATTTTTAAATATGTGATCTCTTCCTCAAGCTGCCCATTTCATGAGATGTGTTTGGTCACATTTGATTGGAGAGATAAGAAATCAGTTGGATCAAATGGTTTTATCACATATGTCTACAGTAACCTGAAGTCTATTTCGGAGTAAACAGAGATTTGTTTCTGGAACAAGCTGTATTCAAAACAATGCATCCCTAAGTGCGCCTGCCGCATTCTTGGATGTGTGACTTGAATGCTTTAAATGTGTAAATATCTCCATTTTGAGATCAGTAAAGTTTATCTTATCTTATTTTATTTTAGGATTGTAGTTACTAGTAAAACATTTTTTGCATTTCAACTTTACTGTGACATTTTTATATTTCCTGATTCAATGGCTGGCATAGTGGACATAGTTGCTTGTGAAATGAATGTCAAGCATAAGTTGTTTTTATAACAAATTGTTCCCTGGATTATAAATGTCAACGGCACAAGGCCATTCTATTACTCATCACTATTACTCATCACTTTGGTTTTATTGCATTCTCCTTCACAAATACATTCTTAGATTTTCCTAAATATTTCTTTTCCGAGGCGCGTCTTCTCCCATAATGGCTCAGTAATGCCACGAGCTGTCAGCCTCTAATCTGTTTACCCAAAGACTGATGAATTTACCAGTATAGCACAGATTTCATTTTTCTTGTAATAGACACAATTAGATCAGCTCCAACAAACAAACAAAAATCATTCTCTAATTGCGCAGTAGCTCGGGTTCAGATAGACCTCCCTCTCATCAAAATGTTCATTCCTAATTTCCTAAAAAGTACAGATACATGTATCCATGTATCTGTAAAAGTACAGATACATGGATACAGGTACAGGAAAATGTTACTCTCTTTGTGTGTATGATTTGAAAAGACTTGGCTGTAGCTGGGGCACCTTTTTGTCAGACTTTGAAATAATACAAATAAAGACAATTATATTAAAAAGAAACGGAATGTAATTTTTTCAATCCAACTTTCTTTAGTAATTATCCAATAACAAATTAAATACCACATTTAAATCTTGAACAACAACATGATACATTGTAGAGTAGTATGCCAACCCCCCACCCACCACATACCGTTGTTCAAGTTCAAAGCGATAAAAACAAAAAAACAAACAAAAGAATAAATATAATTTAAAAAAGTAACAAGATAAAATGATAATGATTCATTGAAATGTAATTCTTTAAAAGCATATCTTTTAAATCTCATGTGTAACAATTCACATTCTGCACAATGGGGAGGGCAACAATGCATTTCCACCAGTTATCACAGTAAATGTTTGGTTTGATATGAATATTTATCATGCTTCTTGTTGTAAAAATGCAGAATATTCTGAAGTGTTGTTGTGACTGCAGATGGCTAATTGACACCACAGCTGCTGCATTTCTCAGGAACTGCCTTGTCCCCGCTAATTTTGACTCCACTCTGGAACTTGTAAGTCAACCCATTAAATATCATGTAATCGCTTTTACACTCCAGCTGAAATGTTGTTTGTGACATTGTCGTCCTCAAAGTTTGTTGTGTGGTGACAATATGAGAGTCCTTTGCAATAACGGCAGAGGCCACTGTTATTGCAGAAGCCGCAGATAACCTTGACTCCCACACAATTAGTTCTGTCCTCCTGATCTTATCAAGCCACCGCTCGCATGTGTCCCATTCTACTTTGATTTTTTTCTGTTTCTCAATTAAGTTGTTAATTTGTTTTAATCTGAATGGAGCAGATTTTTTGTGTCTCCTCATGTGGACCTCAGGGGAAACCTCGGTGAATGATGATGAAGCATTAGTGTAATGAGAAGCCTGGATATTTACAGCATGGTTTAACACAGACAGATGCTTTCCCCCAGACCCCTCACTTCTGACTCCTACTCCTTTCATAGAGAATTCCATTTTAAATGGGAGGGGATTTTCCTTGTGATGTCTTCATTTATACGGTGATTGCCGGAATATGAGCCACTATATTTTTCTATTTCTTTGAACTCTGTGGCATACATAGCAATGCGGCCAATGTACGTGATTTTATTTTGTTAAGAAAACATTTGAAGTGATAGCTGGTGATCTCCAATATTGATTCCACACATTCCTGCTTTGTAAAGTGTTTATGTGAACAGCAGAGAGCTGACACGAGGAAGAGAGTGGGAAATACAGAGGACTTGTTTTTATGTAATTAGGGCTATTGTTTGTTTGTTGTCTTATTATTTTGACTCTATGGTTGGGAGGAGACACGAGATTATTGTCAAAATAGATTGGATTCACCAGAATGCTTTAATCATCTCGAGTCAACAGTGCATTGAAACAGCTCCTCATTACATGATGCTGTGTCCAGTTAAAACAGTCTATCGGCTTTGGTTTGCTCCTTGTCTGTTGGTGGGGATTTATATACATCTGCGCTTTATACAGTCCCTCCAGAATTTTGTGATGTTGCAATGGCAACTATTATCGCAAAATCAAGCAAACCCAGCAAAATAAGTGCGACCTGCAACTTCTTCTAAACTCCACAATTTTACAGAAACAAATGAGTAGTGTATGACAGAGTCATTGCTCTGTCCCTGTCATTAAGCATCGAGTTGTGAGCGCGCTCCTGTCATTCTCCCGTGTGCGAGGCGCCGCTCCTACGCAAGATGTTCTAGAGCACGATGCGGTGAATGAAACACTTGGTACTCACAGTTCTCGCTTTGTACTGACCGGTCCACCACATATGGCCTCGCCCTGTCCCCTTTATAAACCACACGGTAACATCATTCATGGCTCACCCGCAGCTACACTGTGTTCGCGCTCCTCCTAACTCTCCTCCTTCCATGTACGTGGTTCTAAGTGACCGGTCAAACAGAGCGCATCTTGTTGACAAACTTGTATCTTGCTTTATGTCTTGCTATTTGACAAAAATGTGTATAATAATATTGAGTTGAAATGGGTGTCATGCTTACTGCTTAGATGACTTGAGCTTTAACATCATGTCTGGTTGCTCTTGATAAGTCACTTTTCCTTTAAATCAACTGTTTGTGACAAGCGTGCAGAGGAGAGATCGCTGCCATGGATTATCAAGTGCTGATTTAGCGTATAATAGATTCGGCGATGATGCCTCCTGCTGTTCTGCCACCTGTTCTGTCAATGGAGAGTTGCGCTGCCACACACACACACACACACACACTCTCACACACACAAACACACACTTACACACATTCGCACAAACACACACGTCAACGAATCTCTTTTTTGAGGTTGGGATGAGTGTATTTGCAGTCCTGAAGGTGTGTCGTGGTCTTGGTGGAATCTTGTCCTATATTGTATAATGGTGACAGTGATGAAGCATTGTGGTCGGTGTTTTTTTTTTGGTTCTCTGGTGAAAAATTGAGCCATTAGATGCTGAGGAGACGGGAGGTGCTGGATAGCCAAGGTCCGTTCAATCAGAAAGGCCCTCCATCTTAATCAGTGGCCCGCTGGGATGTTCTCTGTCTCTATGCTCTTAAGGAAAAGAACGAGCAGGATTCCTATGGCAAACATCAGTGCGGTAAGACTAACCTGGTCAACCCGAAATGCAGTTCCAGTGGATGCAAGGACAGCAAAACTTAAACAGCAAACGCTCTGTTTTGTATAATAGGATAAAGTATTTGGTGTTATTGTAAAAGAAATGCCAGTTTTTGAGCTGGCTGTGTATCTGCCTCCTCTTCGTCCTAACTCGCCTGTAGGCATTGCTGGGCTGACTCATGGAGCACAAGTTTCTGTCAGCGCTGTCGCTGATAGTGCGCGTCTACATGTAGTCATGCTGCCTTTGTATATTTCTGTGCATACACTTTGTTGATATGAGGCCGCTGCTCAGCTGAGCGCAGCTCTGAGCCTGTCCACCAGTATTACCATCAAACTTACCTTTCACTGTGGATCTGCTATGTGCCCTATAACCCAGTGCTAACTTATTCAAAACACCAATATGTGTTTGTCTATGCCTGGAAACATTTGCTCTGAGCTGGCAGCTCTTCTATGTGTTTTTAGTTCATTAAACAAGAGTTCAGGGAGCATGAAAAGGCTCAGAGGCAGGAGCATTTCATTATTCATTTAATTTCAAGTCTGCCATGCATTTGAATCAACACACCATCAGTACACATGGACATATCAAATACAATCAAAGCACAACAATCAAACAAAACACTCTTTTAAAACCTGTAATAAACACACATTGCATGAGCCTGACTGCCCAACAGCTGTAGGACTTTTTTTTTTTTTACACAAATAAACAAACCCAAATCTTGTACACTGCATCAATTATTTAAAACATACAACTTCTCTCTGTATTTCCAGGAACCATGTACGATGAGGCGAGGGTGCCGTCCCCCAAAGATGGTGCCAGCGGCGTGGCTCAGGCCGCAGTCCCAGGAGCAGGAACAGCCTCAGCATCAGGGGGGGTCCTGCAGGCCAACACTGAAGATGGATACCCAGCTGCAGAGGAGGAAGCAGCCACTGTGGAGCCTGTGCTGGTGAAGAAGCCCCACAGAGAGATCCTGGACCATGAGAGAAAGAGGAGAGTGGAGCTCAAATGTATGGAGCTGCAGGAGATGATGGAGGAGCAAGGGTAAGCTACTCTCTTTTGACTTCAAAAATATGTTGTTAATATGTGGTCAGCTTTGTGGATAAAGAATAACTAACATTTCAAATTTGACTTTCTTTAAGTCATAATAATTTTAAAGTATGAGATCTGGTACTAGATTTAGTGTGTAGTCAAGAATATATTGGGACTCATTTACAAAACCTCTGCACGGCAAAGTAATTGCATGAATTGTGTACACGGCGAAAGTGAAACTTTTTGATTTATCAATTTCGACGTGAACATTTTATGCGCTCAGATCCCACACCAAGTCCGAGGGGTCATAGGCTGAACAGGAAAATTACCATTTAGCCATATGGGACTATGGTATTTAGCAATAAACTTTTATTCATTTGGCTGTTAGTAATGATGCAGTTAAAATCCCTTTTTTACATTTAGTAAAAATCATAACCAAACACACAAATACACACACATCAGCAGCAGTCCAGCCCAATGACGACACTCACCAGGCTCTGGTCCTGCTTCAGTCTGACGTATGAACACTTTTTTGAGGTGATGTCGGCGTGTTTCACCACAATGGTGTTAAATGAGGAAATGACGCCCAATGTTCACTACAAACAAATCTTTACTTTACTTCACGTCCATTTCAAAACCTCAACAAAGACCACTGTCACTCATTACATATGTTTTTACAGTAAGTAAGTAAGTAAGTAAGTAATGTTTATTTATATACCGCCTTTCACAGACCAGAGTCACAAAGCGGTTTACAATTGTTAATTTTGGGCATTTGTCTCTCCCTCCACACAGAGATGGGAGCGGGGTCGCCGAACAGGAGGCGCATGCCAGACCTATTGTACATATTTTTAGTGGTAGGGGAAACCGGAGTACCCGGAGGAAACCGGAGTACCCGGAGGAAACCTACGCAGACACGGGGAGAACATGCAAACTCCACTCAGAAAGGCCCTGGTCCGACCGGGATTCGAACCCAGGACCTTCTTGCTGAGAGACGAGAGTGCTATCCACTCTGCCACCGTGCCGCCCACTGATTGAAAAAGTAACAGACTTTTTCAATGATTTCTTTTGCACAGAACACATTTCAGTGTTCTGTGCTTGATGTTACATGTAGCTGATGGGGAAGCTACACAGTCTATTAGGGGTGTAACAGTTAATCGATTGATCACAACTCATTGATTATTTTTGTTATTCAGCAACTTTTTAAGTTAGTAATTACTTCAGCTTTCTCTGGGGGCAAATAGAGGAAACATATGGTACTGTATGAGTATTCTAAAAACTATTCAATTGATATAAAAATATTTCTCTTGTATTAGAGGGCATAGCGCTATATGTCAATTTATAGTCAGTTCATACAGCACTTTTAAAAACAAACACAGTTGACCAAAGTGCTGAACACACAGTGTAGGCAAACAAGAGTCAAGGTTTCATTGCCTATATCAGTGAAAACATTCACAATAAAACATAAGATAAACATACGTGTAGGGTGTGCCTTTATACTGTATCTCTCTCTTTATGCCGATGTACTGTGCCGTGAGCCACATGATGTGGAAAAACATACAGAAACCATCTTTGGAGAGATTGGTGTCTATTTTAGAGCATTTGCCAGTGTGCACAGTCACTGGAAGAGAATGCATCTGTCCCACTCCCCACACTGGGAATATGTCCATAGAGAAGAGAGTAAAAATAAGAACTGTATATGTGTCAGTCACAGCAGAGATATGCCGTGGGAGTTGTTTGTTTAAAGAGCAATTTAAGAAGATATGGATTCATGTGAGGCAGGCTAAAATGTGTGTTTTTAAAAATGGTTTGCAATTTGCAAACTGTCCTTTTCCATCGTTCTACAATTTTCCCACGTTCTCACCACAATGACAATTGTCCAGTTCAATTAGGAATAGGACACTACCTGTTCATATACCGTTCTTCGCAAGAAAAGATTGTTGTGTCATAGAGTGTATGCTGCATTTTCCTCAATTTTCTGCCTGTCATATTTGGTACAATTGCACACAGTCCAGCCTCATCCATTTGAAACAATTTCCAGCCCCAGCCAAATCATTCGTCTTGCAATGTTACTGCTATTACTAAGGAGGAGAAATTGCCAAACCTCAGATGTCTTACTTTGTTACACAACATTTGTCATGTCAACTGGATTATCTCCAACAGATTAGAAGCGGGGATATTGTTTTTGTGCACAGGTCAACCAGTAAGTCTGTGCTACACATGCCAAACAAAACCTACTTTAAAACTAATTATTATAACGTATTTTCCTATTTTATACCCTGCACTTGCGGTTGTAAAACAGTATTGATCAAAACCATCTTTAATGGACTATTTTACTTAGTTTGGCTAGATAATTCCAAGTATATTGAGTTTGTCAGTGCATAATTTGTCAAAGAAGGCTATTACACCAAGCAAAGACCTTTTCAGCCGTTAGTATTTGTTTTTATTCATGAAGTAATTTTGTTTTGCCCAAAGCCTGTAATCCAATAAGATGTAGACAACAGTGATAGATGTAGCCAATGATGGAGCCGACATGCAGCTTCCGCAAAGATCAGCAGTAGTTCATTTGGTCCATCTATCGACACCACTTGTCTCTACGGAGTCCGACACAGAGGCTGCTGGTGTCGTTGTTGTTTAGAGTGTGATCAGCTACTGCGGACAATCTCAAACTGCAAACCTCACTGGTCGCTAGTTCATCTGAACCGTACACCAATAGTATTATTAATGCTCACACTCAAAGATATAGATTATGGACTGAGGCGGGTTCATTGATGTGAAATCATGTTGCTTAAATGTCTATTACTATCACTGCAGGAGTGACAGTGCAAACGCAGGTAAATGAGTGCTTCTATTTAGAGCTGTTCAACAAATCCAGAGCAACTGTCTGATGCTAACAAAGCAGAGCTAATTGAGAAAGGGGCTAAAGAGGGCGCCAAACGAATCCTACACTCAACAACCTGCCGATCCAAACGTGGAAGCCAAGGTACATCCATCACAGGTGAGTAGAGACGCAGTGTCAGCTACTTAAGATAAAGTGGAGTTAGTTGTTACTCATTGAAAAATGCAGACGACTTTTGGATTTCCTGGGTGTTTACATTCTGTTTGCGTCTCTTCAAATTCTGGTTGCATTTCTTTTTGCACTGTTCACATCTCCTCTATGTGCTGCTAGTTGTGTGAGGGGGTGATGTCAACTAGTTTTCTATCCAGCATTTGAACAGGATTTTGAACAACTACCAAGTAAGACACATCACTCTTAATATCGGGCAATGGCAGAGCCCGAGTGCCAAGAGCAATATCAGAATTGGATAAAAGCTTGATATGTGCACTTGCTAAATTGGTCGAGTCATTTTTTGTTTTATTTAAGGGAGGAATCTCATTTGGCTGCCCCCCACTCTCCCTTCTCCTCACCATTTCGTAATGTGGATTTTTTAATGAGTTGCGTGAATTTGTGCCAGATTAATGAATTGAGCCGACTAAATTATAGTCACAACAATTCCAAGGCATTAGACACAATTAAGATGGATTCTGTAACCCCCCTGGGCCCCCCTTAATATGGATGCTCAGGGGCAAGTTGGTTGTCTTCCCTCTCCTTTAAACCTGCTGGACGGCTCCTCTTTTGTATTACCCAGCATCCACTTCCCTTATGGCTGTCAGGGGTGATGGCGTCACCATGGGAGCCAATTAGAACAGCTTGTCTATAGGAGGTGGTCTGAAGAACATGGAGTCATTTGTAAAAAGCACTCTAAAGAAATCATATCGAGGGATTTTTTTAGCCTCCTGATTAAGTCATTATTGCACACACAATGATGTTTTCAACACTTTGGATTGGTGCATAATGTGATTCTTATTGAGTTTTTCTTTCTCACACCCTTTTTCCAATCAAATCTGAATTTGGCTCTACTGTATGTATGTTAGATGACTAACATAGTCAATTGTTTAATTCAATTCAATTCATTTTTGTGTAACCCTAAATCAATACAGCAGTCGTCTTGAAGGACTTTACACAGTTGTAGAACAGATCAGAGAATTAAACAGCTTGATCACAGAAAACCCAGTAGGAAACATTGAGGAGGCCCTTAGTGAGGGAGGATCCGCTCCCAGGGAACTTCCTCTCATATTTAAAGACTCATTTCTGATATTAGGATTTTTGTTTTGATTTTGTCTCATCATAGAAAAACTTAAATCTCACACAAGCCATTAACATATTTTCGTTGAAATAAAGAAAACAAGTTTTTGATTGTCTAATCTAATTGCTTAGATGAATGGGAGTGATGCATATCTCAGAAATGCAGCACACGTCGTCTATATTTTCAGTGATTTCATGTACTAATACTTTTACACTATGTTGTTAGTGTTGTTTGAGGTTTCTGCATAGGTTTGTTCTTTATGAAGCGGGCTGTTGGACTAATAAGGGAGTTCTTTAGAGGAGGAGATTGATGCCAGACCAGTGACAGCAGCCTTGAGATTTCTTCCTTATCTCAAGGAAGGAATAAATCTAAAGGTTGGAAGTGTGAATCCCTTTTTAGGTGTGGAATGGAGAGATGCGGAGGGGGAAACCAGACAAAGGCCAGACCTGATGCAGAGTCCAGACCGGGACCAGGAACTGGCTGATACGACACGCCCCTTCTGCACATTATTACTTATATGATTTTGCCTGATGTTTTAGTTCAGTCAGATAGGGTGAGCCCATAGGGAAAGAGAGCAGGCATAGTTAGGATAGCGGCTTTTTGAATTTCTGTATCTGATTGTAAAGATAAATTAAATACAGATGTTTAACTTGGAAATCTTCGTCTTGTTTTCTGCATCAAATTTTGACACACGCCCAAAGGTTTTTTTAGACAATAGGAGCTGGTACTAACCTTATTTTCACTATTTTTGTGGCTTTTTGAATAAAACCCACATGTGAAAAACCTCCTGAAACATACAACAACATTATGAATGAGTATCCGTTATGTTAAATCTACTCCTTTATTTGCAAATACCAAAAGCTATGACCATCATCTTAAGACGAGCGG